GTTGAGGCAGATCACTTGAGGTCAGGAGTTTGAGATCAGCCTTGACAATATGGTGAAACCCTGTCTCTACTAAAGATATAAAAATTAACTGGGAGTGGTGGTGCGTGCTTGTAGACTCAGCTACCAGCTACTCGGGAGGTTTAGATAGGAGAATTAGTTGAACCCAGGATACAGAGGTTGCAGTGAGCCGAAATTGTACCACGGCACTCCAGCCTGGGCAACAGAGCTAGACTCCGTCTCAAACAAAACAACTCCCTTCATTTTCCTGTAATTCTATTTCCTCGAGAAGGGTAGATCTTTTAAGACCTCATTCTATGCTGTTACAAACATACAATCAAAAATTTAGTGACTTTAGTTTCATACAACTGGAATCAAACCATATGAATGTTTTTAAACTTGCTTTTTTACTTTATTATCTTAGAAAATTTTCTGTCACTATATATCAAGCTTTCTTTTTAATTTGGTCTAAAGTAGTGGTTTTGAAACTTTTGGGTTACATACTTATATGATAATTCTGAGAAATTCTTTCTCTTTGTACATTAAGTTAACATCTAAAATTTTGTAGCAAAAGTTTAATTGTAAAACACGTAATTTTGAGAATGTTTTACTTTTGCCACATAAAAATAAGTTACATCATTCTGCTAAATATATCCAAATGCTTCTAAATATATAGCATTTTGATTCCATCATCTAGTTTAAAAATATATGAACAAGCTGTTCTTTATCATTGGAAATTTAAATTCTTCTTTTGAGTCCTTGAACTCTTATTTCCATACCATGTCTCAGAGTTTTATCCTAATGTAATACATTTTTATGCTTGAAAGTTTTTTCTTGATTGTGTTACCATGTTTCTGCTACTAATTATGTATATCAACTTAAATTTTAATATTTAAAGTTCCTGTGACAATAAGATTCTGTGTTTTCAATTTGGTCCAGAGGAAATTTATCATCACAATTAGTGGCAGTACACACATGTATTACATTTTTTTTAAAAAAATCTCCATTTTCACTTAATCCTATGTATTTCTTCAAGAAGGATACAGATGAGTATGTTGACCAGGCTGGTCTTGAATTCCTGGCCTCAAGTGATCTGCCTGCCTTGGCTTCCCAAATTGCTGGGATTATAGACTTGTTTGTTTTTTGTTTTGAGATGGAGTTTTGCTCTCCTTGCCCAGGGTGGAGTGCCATGGCGCGATCTTGACTCATTGCAACCCCCACCTCCTGGGTTCAAGGAATTCTCCTGCCTCAGCTTCCCAAGTAGCTGGGACTACAGGCATGCACCACCATGCTCAGCTAATTTTTGTATTTTTAGTAGAGATAGGGTTTTGTCATGTTGGTCAGGCCGTTTTCGAACTCCTGCCCGCAAGTGATGTCCCATATATGTAGCATATACAGTAGCATATATTGTATATACTCACTCACTGTCTTAAAGCAATCTTGACCTCCCATAGTGCTGGGATTACAGACGTGAGCCACCATGCCTGGCCTGCTTTTATTTTTTCTTAGTGTGTCCTGTTATCTTCCCGTATCAGTAACATGAAGTGCTCTCATTTTTTTTATTAGTGTGTACTATTTTACAATATTATAATGAATCTGTTGGTGGACATTTGCTGTTTTTAAGCAGTGTCATAATAAACATTCTATTTATATTCACGTTTTTATACTTTTATGTCTCTCCGTGAACTAAATACTAAATACCTAAAATGGATTGTTGAGTATTTCAGAATTTGATAGGCTGCCAAATTGTCTCATAAAAAGGTTGTTCCTGGCTGGGCATGGTGGCTCACTCCTGTAATCCCAGCACTTTGGGAGGCTGAGGTGGGTAGATCACCTGAGGTTAGGAGTTCAAGACCAGCCTGGCCAACATGGTGAAACCTCATCTCTAAGGGGGGGGAAAAAAAAGGTTGTTCCTATTTACATTCCTCCAAATGATGAATTGAAATTACCCTTGTCAACACTGATTATCAAATTTTAAACAGGTTTTATCACTGATAGCTGCTCTCAAACCACTTGCAGAATATCAGTTTTTCTAATTTCCATTTTCTTGTAATATGCATGTTTTAATGAAGGAAGTTTTTTTAAAATATGCACTCTTTCATGAGCTAGGAAGAATAAATCTTAAAAGCTTATTGTGTGAATGTGAGAAGGGATTTATTTACGCCAAATGTGGGATGGAGTATATTTATGGCATCTCTTTGGATAAGTAAAATGCAGTTTGAAGACTTAGCAGGGTATATGTTACATAGTGGGTGTTTAATACAATTCTATTGTCTTTCATTTCTTTATTTCCTTCTTTTATTTAAATCATACTCTCTTTTTGGACTGCCTTGTTCTTTTAGGTAATTCTTTTTGTTGTTCATCTGAAGTAACAGAATGAATGATCTTTTCAATGAGAAATTTGTGTGAAAGATTTCTTCCTTGTATTTATAAGGACCACGGGGTTGGACAGCATGTTTGTGATCTTCCAAAGGAAAATCTTGCATTTTGTATTTCAGTAGCATTTATTGTAGATACTCACTTGTTGTCTTAGGAATAATAATCTCTGAATTCTTGGGTCAGCAAGGTGACTGCAGAGCTAGGCTGGTTGCTAACATGTTAGATATAGTCAGAGACAGGCTGGGCGCGGTGGCTTAAGCCTGTAATCCCAGCACTTTGGGAGGCTGAGGCGGGTGGATCACGAGGTCAAGAGATCGAGACCATTGTGGTCAACATGGTGAAACCCCGTCTCTACTAAAACTACAAAAAATTAGCTGGGCATGGTGGCGCATGCCTGTAATCCCAGCTACTCAGGAGGCTGAGGCAGAAGAATTGCCTGAACCCAGGAGGCGGAGGTTGCGGTGAGCCGAGATTGCGCCATTGCACTCCAGCCTGGGTAACAAGAGCTAAACTCCGACTAAAAAAAAAAAAAAGATATAGTCAGAGACTTTCAGAAAATGTTGTACATCCTCAGATTGATCTGTATTGTCAATGCAATTTCAAATAAGATCCCATCAAGAATTTTGGCATAAATAAAAAACTGATTTTAAAATTTATATAGAAAAGCAAAGAAACAAAACAAGGCCAGGTGCAGTGACTCATGCCTATAATACCAACACTTTGGTAGGCCAAGGTGGGAGGATTGCTTGAGGCCAGGAGTACAACCAGTATGGGAAACATAGGGAGACCTTGTTTCTCCAGAAAATAAAAATAATGAAAAATTAGGCAGACATGGTAGCATGTACCTGTGGTCCCAGCTACTTGGGAGGCTAAGGCAGGAGGATCACCTGAGTCTGGGAGGTCGAGGCTGCAGTGAGCCATGATCACACTACTGCACTCCAGCTTGAGTGACAGAATGACAGAATGAGACCCTGTCTCAAAAAGCAAAAAAGTAAAGGAAAAAAAAAAACATTGTTGGAAAAGACCCACGTTGGAGGACTCATATTACCTTATTTAAGACTTCTGGCCAGACATGGTGGCTCATGCCTGTAATCCCAGCACTTTGGGAGGCCGAAGTGGGTAGATCACCTGAGGTCAAGAGTTCGAGACCAGCCTGGCCAACATGGTGAAACCTTGTCTCTACTAAAAATACAAAAAAGTTTAACTGGGCGTGGTGGCCTGTGCCTGTAGTCCCAGCTACTCAGGAGACTGAGGCAGGAGAATTGCTTGAACCTGGGAGGCAGAGGTTACAGTGAGCCAAGATTGTGCCGCTGGACTCCAGCCTGGTGACAGAGCAAGACTGTCTCAAAAAAAAAAAAAAAAAAGAATACAGATGACTTTTTCAGCAAATGATTATGTAATAATTAGGTGTCCATGTACAGGAATAGAAACTTAGACCTGCATCATTACACCATATGTAAAACTTAACTCCAAATGTATGTAAATATGAAAACTATTAGACTTCTAGCGGAAAACGTGGAAAAAATCGTGTGACCTACTTCATAAAAATTTGAAACTTTTGTTCTTTTTAAGACAGTTAAGTAAATGAAAAGATAGTACAGTATAAGTCAAAAACAGGAAGAAAATTTTTACAAAATTTATCTGATAAAGGACTGATATTCAGAATATATAAAGAATTTTTAAAACTCAATAATAATAAAATAAAGAATTCAATTTTAAAATAGTCAAAAACTTTGACCATTCAAATCACCAAAGAAGACGAAGGAATGGCAGAGAAACGCATGAAAAGAGGCTCAACATCCTTAGTCATTAGGGAATGAGATACAACTAATTCCCTTTAAAAAAAAAAAAAAAGAGTCCTCTGCTTCCAGAAATGCAGCTGATTACCTCCGTGCAGTTCTCATCTAGGAGCAATTATGGTACCCTGGATTTCCTGTGTGGGAATTAATAGTTAATAAATCGCCTCAGCTGGGCACAGTGGCACATGCCTGTTATCCCAGCACTTTGGGAGGCTGAGGCAGGTCACCTGAGGTCAGGAGTTTAAGACCAACCTCCAACATGGCGAAATCCCGTCTCTACTAAAAATACAAAAATTATCTGGGCCTGGTGGCAGGTGTCTGTAATCCCAGCTACTCAGGAGGCTGAGAAGGAGAATTGCTCGAACCCTGGAGGCAGAGGTTGCAGTGAGCCAAGATTGTGCCATTGCATTCCAGCCTGGGCTGCAAGAGCAAAACTGCATCTCAAAAAATAAAATTAAATGCCTCATGTTCTTGGAGCATTTGGTTTGAATTGCTGATACTAAACCTGTGGTGCTTCATGATGGTTTTACTGAATTTAATAGTTTTCTTTGACAATTTACAGAATAAAAAATATTTAGAATTGCTATTATGAAGGGCTCTCCTGTGGAAGTGGTACTTAACAGAGCTTGGGTGCCCTAGGAATTAATAATTCTGATCTGTTCTGTTTCTGGGTTTTCTTTTATTAAATCTTTAAATTTTGAACAGTTTTAATTGCTTTAACCCAATGCTACGAAGAACATGAAAAACTCAATTAATATACAGTAGTTGGATCTGTTCTTCATTTTTCTGTCTGTCACAATGGGTAATTATTTGTCACTGTTGCAGATACTCCATCTTCTAAACCAACACTGCTAGCCAATGGTGGTCATGGAATAGAAGGGAGCGATACTACAGGTAAGTGATTCCCAGGATTCCTCAAATGTGTAGATGATGCACTTACCGTGAATACCTTGATAATATCCTTTGAAGGGTGTTATTAATGGAAGCATATGAATTATTTCTGAGTGTTCTTGTTGGATGTATTTAAACCCAGGACATTGCTTTGTAAAATCTCCAACAATGGAAGGCAAATAATGAGTTTCCTCTGATATTTTTTGAATATTTGTTGGAGCTGTACCACACAAGAGCTGGATCAACCTTAAAATACTTTTATAGATACAGAATAATAATAACCAAAATATGTTACATGGGAGGCATTTGGCCACTACAACTCTTTGAAGCAGCAGGTCTCTTCCCTGAATGCACATTACATTTAGCTTTCCACAGTTCAATGTTAGGAAGCCCATGAACAACAAATTAGGAGTTCTTTATTTTGCCCCCAGTATGTTTCCTTCATCTTTCCCTTAACTGTTGCTTTTGAAATTTACTTCTAACTAAACTGTTAGATCTACTAGGGTTCTGATATTTTCAGTTGGCACTGAGGTTCTGTGGGTTTCTGTCTCATAACCAGCAGCAACTCCCTACCCCAATGTCTTTGTAGTGAGCAAAATTCACAAAGCAGTAGCAGGAGTCTCAGGGATATACTATATAAATATTGTCTTAATTAGCTGATGTGAGAGTTGTATATTTTATTTTCATAAATACCTGCATTTACTTTGCAGTTGTGATCAGGCCATCACTGCTGACCCAAATGCATAGACTTACAATGATCAATCCCATTGTTTCCACAAGTATGCGCTTAACTGGGCCATAACATTTGATTCATATTATTGCAGTGGAGGCAGTTATTAGATTTGTCATGTTTCTGTATTTCTCTTATATGCATACCTCAGCTAGAAGCCCTTCTGTGAGCCACACAGGATTTCTCTGTTTCTAAGGCTTCTAGAAAGCCTTCTGTTAGCAGTAGCAGCTGTTCTAGTATTTACTTGTTATTCTTTGACCATAGCAAAGTTGTATATATCTTCATACATCAGATTTTTTGATGACTAAGTTCCTTTTGTTGTGAATGTTTACTAAGTGATATTAACATCCTTATTAGCAACTTAATAAATTAGTTACTCTTTACTTTAGAAGCTAGAAACAACCAGAAGTGCCACTTTATCTTCCAGTTTTGTGAACTGACGTTTGTATTTCTTTGATAATCTCAGTCAAATGTATTGACTTCCTGTGTCTGCTTTGAAAGCAGTCATCTGTGTGATGTGGTTTTTAAGAAAACATTTATGCAAATGTCCACGTGATTAAAGGAAAAGAAGTTTGAACATGAACTTTTAAAATAATGAGTATATTCAGCTTTCTTTAACCAAGAAATAGTTAACCAGGGTAAGGAAAGGCTGGAGGGGATTGATCTGATTAGCCAGTTGAAAAAGTGGATGCCGGCCGGGCGTGGTGGCTCACGCCTGTAATCCCAGCAATTTGGGAGGCTGAGGTGGGCGGATCACAAGGTCAGGAGATTGAAAACATCCTGGCCAACATGGTGAAACCCCATCTCTACTAAAAATACAAAAAAAAATTAGCTGGGCGTGGTGGCGTGTGCCTGTAATCCCAGCGACTTGGGAGGCTGAAGCAGGAGAACTGCTTGAACCAGGGAGTCAGAGATTGCAGTAAGCCGAGATTGCGCCACTGCACTCCAGCTTGGCGACAGAGCGAGACTGCGTCTGAAAAAAAAAAAAAGTGGATGCCATTTTCATCCAGGAAGGAAACAAGTACCAAAACTAGAGTAGACTCTTCTCCAGTAGGAAGTCATGCCTGACCAGAAGAGACTCAAACTCTGTGTAGCAGGTGCTCACCACTGCCAGGTCTTAACAGTACAAAAAAAGAACAGGAAAAACTTGTATCCTGGCCCTCACTATTTCAAGATTCCCTTGTGACAAAAAAGAACCTGGCTGTTTATGAACTGCCCAGTGGCATTGTGAGAGTAGGTCTTTCTGTTCTTGAATACCTCTCTGCCCTTAGGTAGCATAGAGTTTGCACACCTGGGTTGTTTGAGTTCTGAATTTAACCACCTAACTGTATTAAAATAGATACTTTACTGAAAATATGCATGTTTTATTGGGGGAGGTAAAGTGGAGGGAAGGGGTGGCAGTGCATGTTTTTGGAGCATGTTGTGACCTCATTCTAATTGGCCATCACTTCCTGGAGCAATGCCATTTTGAAAATTCTCATTTCTGTTTCCTTCAGAATGTTATCTATAGTCTCGAGAGCAAACCAGCTTCGTTAATAGCTTGGGTTTATGAGCATCTTGTGATATTGAACTTGCTGTTTACTAATGACCTGTGCTTTTCCGCCCTTTCCTTCCCCTTCCTACTTCTTCCTCCCTCTCTGTTTTTCTCCTCCTAGAAGCCTAGCGTGTCTCTCAACACTGGGGCTGCTGCAACACCAGACCAGTGATCTTTCCTAAGCACCGTTATACTTCTAAAACCTTCAGCATTTTGCAGAGCTTTGCTTTTCCTTCTGGACACGATGTAGAAGAAACTGAGGGTAGTTCCTCGGGGCCTATTTCTGCTGATGCCTGAGCAAACAACCTGCTTCCTCTTGTGCTCTGCAGGGCTTGATGGAGCCTCATTTCCCTTTGTGAACACAAAGTACAAAATGAATTCTTTTTAATTTTAGTAATTTTTACAAAAGTTATTTAATGTCTTTTATTTCTTGTTTTCTTTACAATTTTATTTTATCATTTGATTCATTCTCACATTTTTTTTTCTTTAAATATTTTTAGTTGACCTTTTTTCCTTTGGTTTTCAAATCTTCACCATAAATCAGGATAGTGTAACACCAAATGAGAACATGTGCTTTCATAAAGGGGTTGAGGCCACCAGTACTGCAGTAAATTTCCTTTTCCTCTCCCTCCTCTTTTCCTCTGTGAGCTTGCTTTTAGAGAAGATTAATCTTACAGGTTACCTGTGTTTCTCTCCACCTTACCTTATCATCTGAATAGTGATAGTTACTTTAAGTTTTTAAATTCAGAATAGTTGAGTAATCCTAGAATATTTTTTCAAATTAAATCATCCTTTATTATTTACAAGTTGGGCCAAAATTGTTTTTATTATAAAATTATGATCTATTTGTCTAGGCTTAGATTTGCCTAAAAATTTAACAACCCTATTGTGTGTGGAATTTTTTTTTTTTTTTTTTTTTTTTTTTTGATGAAGTTTTGTTCTATTGCCCAGGCTGGAGTGCAGTGGCAAGATCTTGGCTCACTGCAGCCTCAGACTCCTGGGTTCAAGCAATTCTCCTGCCTCAGCCTCCTGAGTAGCTGGGTCTACAGGTGCGTGCTGCCACGCCTGGCTAATTTTTGTATTTTTAGTAGAGCCGGGTTTTCACCATATTGGCCAAGATAGTCTTGATCTCCTGCCTGGTGACCTGCCCAACTCAGCCTCATAGAGTGCTGGAATTACAGGTGTGAGCCCCCGTCCCTGGCCCTTGTGTGTGGAATTTTATAATCAGTTACTTTTTGAACATGAACTATCAAAATAAGAATTAGGAAGTTAAAGAAAATGTAGGCTGGGCTCAATGCCTTATGCCTGTAATCCCAATACTTTGGGAGGCCAAGATGAGAGAACCGGTTGAATCCAGGAGTTCAAGACCAGCCTGGGAAACATAATGGGACCTCTATACAAAAAATAAATAAGAAAATGGAACTAAGTTATAATGTTCAATGTTCTTGAATCCCTTATCATTAGAATATTGGGATGTTAATACAGATAAAAAATAATTTTCTGTATTCAACACCAGAATGAAACGAAATTGTAACGTGTTTAAAACCCACAACCAATTTATTAATAGCAGGTTTCTAATGAAATTATTAAGGACTCAAACTCTATTTAGGATTAGTCTCTTTTTGAACTTTGGAGGTATCTTTTTATGTAGCATGCCAGGGGAGATTGATGGATCACACATCAAGACTTGTGTGTAAAGTCCTGTCTGTGAACATTAGTATTTTACATTCACACATTCTAAGGGTTGTTTCAATGGGACTTTCTTATTCTCATTCCTCATTTTTTCAAACTACTTACTTAAAAGATCTAGAACTATTTGGGATAAGTACTGTACAATGGTAAACTTGGATTGGATTTATAGATATATAACATAAAACATGGACCATGTTTTGAAATCTTAGAGGAGTTCTGGCTTAAGATCTGAAAAACTTTAAAGTTTTCTATCCTCTTACTGATTATGTAGGTTCTTATAACCCCCAAAGTACAAATTATTTCAGCTTAAAATAAATAATTGGCACCATGTTCTGGGAAAGATTTTGAGATATACATTGTTTTCTGTTTTTGAGACAGGGTCTCACTCTGTTGCCTAGGCTGGAGTGCAGTGGCGCAATCTCGGCTCATTGCAACCTCTGCCTCCCAGGTTCAAGTGGTTCTCCTGCCACAGCCTCCCCAGTAGCTGGGATTACAGGCATGCACCACCCCACCGGCTAATTTTTATATTTTTAGTAGAGACAGGGTTTTTACCACGTTGGCCAGGCTGGTCTTGAACTCCTGATCTCAAGTGATCCGCCTGCCTTGGCCACCCAAAGTGCTAGGATTACAGGTGTGAGACACCATGCTTGGCCAGATATACATTGCTTTAGATCCCCTGATACAAAACTACTTTTGAGATGGTAAGATTAGAATATCATGAAAGTTTAAACTGAATCCCTGCAGTGACTTCTGGAATTTAGGAAGCATTCTCTCTTCTATAGGGATCTGGTCACAAGGGCTGGATTCTTTGACAAGAATTTCTTCTATGGATTCTGGACAGAAGACACTTCAGGGAGATATGTTTTAAAGGAAAGAGGTTATGCTTATCTTCTTAGCAGTTGATAAAATATGACAACTCTCTTACCATTAGAGAACACACCATCAAATTAAACACAGCTCTTTCCCTTTTGTGTACAGTTATTTATTAATTTGATTTTTAGGTTTCTTTCACCAGGGAACTTTTCAAAACTGGCAGTACTGACTTTT